AAATGAGTAAGGGTAAGTTTTTTCTTTTGGGAAAGGCCCTTTCGTTCGTTTTCAGCTTCACTAATGATGTGATGAATTAAAAAAAAGAACCAACTCTCTATGTTCTACTTTCTAATCTAGAAAGTAACCCAATAACGATAAAAAAAAACAGTAACTCTTTCACTAATCTCTCTTTTGCTCTCGATAACAAAACAAAAAAAGAACTTCAATCTTGGGCACAACTTCTTTCACACAATAAGACACAAACAAAAACTTGTTCAAACACCACCTCTTATAGCCAACCCTTCAAACCTAATCAAACCTATTGTAAGTTCGATTTTTTGCTTTTGTCATTCCCATCTTCTAACATCTTCTTAAGACCTATCCTGAGTTGTTTCTATGTTGTTGTAGGTCGGTCCGAGTCAAATCAAGCCTTGAAAACTTCTCAATTGATCAAATAATCTATTACTGTTGACCTGTCACCACCCATTTCATCAATTCCCATCAAATCAAAAAATCGATTTTTTTTGATCCTGTGGTAAGTCCTTCTGAATGTTTCTTCTGATTCATTCATTGATCTCTTCTAACATTTCTATATAGTTTTTGTCTAGCTTCATTTGATTGTAGCCTCCTTTGGATTAAATTCAATTTTTCAATTTTAAACATAGGTGAAAGTGAACATAAATGAGAAGCCACTTGAAGATAGTGAAGTTGTTGAAGGAGAAGAAGATGATTGATTGGAAAATTCAAATATTTGTATATAGTTTGTTTTTGTTTTGAGTTATGTCCTTTTGTCAAGTTTAAATGTTTTGAAATAAATTGTTTATAATTCAACAAAAGTAAATAAATACTTTAAGATAAGATAAAAACTAAAGTAGAAGAGATTAACATTGAATGATGATGAGTTGAAGTTCTATCAGTGAATTTTTGAATTGATTTAATTATAGAGTTCTTTTGTTTTTTGAGTTTGCTGTTGTTGTGTTATTTTTAGAAGAGTTTGACAGGTTTAAATAATTGAAGTAGATTGATTGAGTTGGAGAAATTGAAGAGGATAATCAATTTTATTGATAGGTGGTGACCTTAAAAGACACTTGAAATGAATATTTTATTATTCTCAGTTTCTTTCTGCATATATCTTGGTCTTGGTGCAAACATTTTGATTACCACACCGACAAACCCCAATACCAACTTCAAACCTTCACAAGAATGGCCAGACCACCAAGCAATTGTCAACTCCGAGCCGCCAAGGACGCAAGGGTATTGGAGGCAGCGTACATTTCAATATCCTTTCCTTTTTGATATCCTATTCATTCTTTCCTTTTTGATTCCTACTGATATTCAATGTTTCCTTTTCAACATCTCAACTTCCTTTCCAAACCCAACCAATATTTGATCTGCCCAACTTTTCCATTTAACCCCGTTCAATCACCGTCTACCCAACTTCCCAACTTCCCATCATTTGATCTACCCACTTTCTCAACTGCCAATGATCATATTATTTCTTCTAAGCAAAAAACGAGCAAGAAGAGCTCCAAAGGAAGGTCTTAGTCCTCCTCGTGGCCGTGATGGCAGCCCTTATTATATGCACAAGTAAGTTTTGTTCTTATTCTTTTGACTCTTATCAATGCTTCATCCATTCTGACCCCTTTTATTCATTTGCAGAGACGATCACCACTGGGAAACCGTTTGAATCAACGGTGACCGCCAATATCTCAATTCAGAGTCAATCCATGTCGACCCTTATGGAGAAGGCGGTCCTTGTGAGTTCCGTTGCTGACTTCAACCGGAAGTCAATATCAACGATTGTAAGTTTTTCTTCTTGCTCCTTCTGAATTTCTCTTGATTACTTGAAACTAACCAATCCTTTAAATTCTTTCCACCTATCAATGATGTTTCATTTAGTATTGCATACCCTTCAACATTTTGGATCCGAAGCCACTGGCACTGAGGAAGCCCATTTTTGGGAGGCCAGCAAGTTGGATCCAAGGTTTGGCAAGGGAGGATTTGATATTCCAGCTCAAGCTCAAGAGCCTGGTAAGTTTTTTCTTCATTCCATCGACAGGTTTAAAAGATTCAAACTGATGTACTCATGATTAGCTCCACGTGTTGAGCTCGATCTCACTAATTCACCCGGACCCATTGCAGCTCCTCTTCCCCAATCTGGATTGGTCCTCGCCGCCAGCAACAAATTGAAACCGTCAAAAGCCAAGTTCTTGTTTAAAGCTTATATACCAATTCCCCTTACTGATACCAAACGACAAAACAGTTTGGCTCAAACCTATGTCGACTACAAGACTGAAGACCCCATTGACATTGTAGTCCAAGTTCATGGCGTGTCATTGACTGAAATCAAGAATTCCCTTTTCGATATGTGCAACACCAACAAGAACGGTACCGGACGAATACTCAAGCAAGCTGAAAATGATATTCAGGTCAATTTCAAAGCTTACATTATTCAAGGGGGCGTGTTTGGTAAAACTTTGACTCCAGTAATCAAAATAGACTCAGTTTTTATTGCATTCGAGAATATGACAAAAACCAAGAAAGGTAAAGAGATGGGTTTTTGCATCATGATGGAAAACCCAAAGAAAATGGCTTGCAATAACTCAAAGGTAAGTGACTTGTCTTGTCCACACTTCCACTCTCTTTTGTTTCAAATTCACTCAGTTCTCACTTTGGACGCTGAACAGCAACTTCAAGTCGATCAAGCATTGGCCCATGCCAATCCGGACGCAATTGATTGTGCTCAACACGATCAATTGGAGATGGCAGTAAGTCTTCATCTATTTCCTTTGATCTTGGCGCGCTCAAACTAACAAACAAATTCTTGAACAGTCAATTGGCGTTGCATCACCTGTTCAGTCTGCATATACCACGCTTATGAAAATGTATGGAAAGTGCACAATTAACGGGTGGGAGTGTATGGGAATGATTAACCCGTTGAACCCTTGCCAAGCAATGCACCTCTCCTTTATTGCCTTGGACTTATGGGCTGAAGCTATTGTAAGTCTCTCGTTTTATTCACTTTTAACCAAAACTGAATCCTTTTCTATCTACAATAGGCCAAACATACTAATGGAGTCTCGATCCACAAGCCACCTACCGGACCCGAGTTTATCTGGGAGGATCTCAACCCTCCAGTCAACACTTGTGCATACTCTGCACTGAATCCGCAATTGACAAGCTCTGTGGGAATGGTTTCACTTGGCAACGGTTTATTTGCCTTGAACACCGATCACCAACAACCCAAAGATCCAACCAAAGCTCCAACCAACTTGACACTCCCAACACCACCTCCTGGTATTGAGGACTATCTTTGCTTCTGCACGAACAGCCAGGACAACTCCATGACTCGAGCTGTAATCAAAGACTTGGACATCGTTGACTTTGAGATGTTTGACACTCCAGAACTCAGTGTGGAGAAAATGAAAAAGTATGGTATTCCCTTTGGAGCTCGTGTTTGTCTCCATGCCAAATTGGCTGCCTATTGAGTTGATCTCAAAAGAAGAAACCGTTAACCAGTCTAACATTTCCTTCCTCAGCACAAACAATGTACTGACCTAATGTATAAAAGAATGTGCTTGCAGAGTTGTAGCCACAGTACTGTACAAGATTAACCAGAAATTATTATTATCACCTTTATGTTTTGTTTTTTGTAATAAAAAATTTTGTGCCAATGAATAACTGAGTCCTTGAAATTGTATGAGACCCAGTTGACAATGATCAAATCTATGAGAACTTGAGTTGATCACTGAGTTATTGCTTTACAAGGAAATTTGCTTCATTCATCAATGAGCATTGTACAATCAATAAATTCTAGATTTATCAGCGTGACATTTCAATCCATAGATTGGCACTTGGTCTGATGACCTTCTCATTTCTCAAAGGTGAGAACTTTTTTATCTCTCAGGTTTTTTTATCATGTGATAACGTTGAAAATTGGTCCAAAGACCTTTTGATTTCTTAACAATAAATTTGTCAAAAAAAAAGAGTTGATAACATTAGAGATTGGTCTAATGACCTTTGAGGCTATCTTTACAATATTTTTTTAAAAAAAATCAACTTGAGAACATTAAAAATTGGACCAAAGACCTTTTGATTTTCTTTACAATAAATTTTTGGGAACTTGTTAACATTGGATAATCTGATGATGTACAAAAGACTTCATGGAAGTTGGTCACTCCATGGTCTATAACCACATGTTTGATAAATCTTAGTGATGAAAGTATCCCTTGATACATCGCTCATAGCCTGATGCAGACAGCGAAACCTATTGATTGCATTCACAAATAACCCTCTCGACGAAGCCTGTCCTTGAAGACCTTGAAGACCCGCTCAATCGGATTGAAATCGGGCGAATATGGTGGTAGATAGACCAAAAGGACTCCCACCCGGTCACACAACTCTTGAATAACTCCACAGCAATGGATGGGTGCATTATCCATGACGAGGACCAAATTTCGATTGGGGTAAGGTTGCATGACAGGAAGCTAAAGTCAATATATGTATAGTCAGCTTCTTGAAATGGATCAGATGTTGAATGAAGAGAAAAAACTTACAAGAACATGTTTAAGAAATGCTTTGAATTCATTTTGAGTATAAGCATTGATCTTGCTGTTGACTGCTAGCAAGCCTAACTTGCATATTGCAGCCAGCATGCTGTAGTGACAACTGTTGCGTTTGCGCTTTAACGCTCTCGGTCGCTCGCCTTGCTTGGACCAAACATGCTTCCGTTGAACGTCTTGCGCTCGTAAACCGCACTCATCTAGGTCAAGGTTAAACAAATTCAAGTTTTATCAGTTTAATGAGTCTTAAATGAAAGAGAAAGAAAGACAAATAGAGAAACTTACCGAGGAAAACAAGAAACTCATGTGGAATTCGACAGATCTGAGCTGTATAGGCTGCTTGAAGGGCCGGTGATTGCATCGGATCGACGGCAAAGACTTTGTGAACAGTAAGAGAAAGGTGGTCCTTGAGATTGTTGGAGATTGTTTGTTGAGAAGCCATAAGATCCGTGTGATTGTACATGGCAGCTTGAACCTTGTCGAGAAACAGTATAGGATTGGCGTCAATGAGCTCCGCCATAAAGTCTTGATCCTTGTCAGTGTACAGAGTTGGTTGTCCTTGTCAATCGTAGGTGGCAGGATCCCGTACAACCGCTCAAGTCTTGTCGTAAAGAGCCTTCCATCTTAGGAAGGTTCTTGGTTTGATCCCAGTAACCAGTTGCTTGTTGATTGATCCAATGCTTTGGCCCGATAAGAGCTTGGAAAGAGCAAGTGCCTTGATTTGGGGTGAATAAAGTACAAAAGGCATCTAAGATAGAGGAAGTTGGTGGTGGTGGTGGTGGTATGGAAGTGGTATGAAGGGTTTGGTTGGTGGTATTGAGGGTTGTAAACAGCTCTTGACTGGTTTCAACGGTCAAGAGGTGTTTGAAATCTCATACCTTGATTGAAGCATATGC